CAGAAGCAAGGTCTCAGTATAAGGCATTCTTTCTCCAGACACACTGAGGAGAAGTTACAGTCTGAGGCTTGGTGAGAGCTAGTGAAGACAGGATCAGTCCATTCCACCTGAGGTAGAGGTAAGAAAATAGTGGCCTGCTGCTTTGCTTTCCTGATCTTCAACTGGAACCCTAATATCTGTCTCTGGGTCATTTCTTTTTTGTGGTACACTGGCTAATCAGCTTCCCTCCCTTCCTCCTTACATCCCTTCCTCCCATCCACCCTCCCTCCTTCCTCTCCCTCTGTGTGTGTGTGTGTGTGTGTGTGTGTGTGTGTATGCCTCTCTCTGTGTATGTCTGTGTGTGTGAGTGTGTGTGTGTCTGTGTATGTCTCTGTGTGTGTGTGTGTGTTTGTTTGTTTGTTTGTTTGTTTGTTTGAGACAGGGTTTCTTTGTGTAACAGCCCTGGCTGTGGGCTGTGGTTAGGATTTGTCACTCTAACTGATTCCAGGTCAAGGAACCGATGTTGTGATTTTGAAAAAGCCACTAAAAAAGAGAAAGATGCCATTCGACAGAGTTCAAGTGGAGTGTTTTCTTATTAGGGAAAAGGATCATAAAAAGGGGAGAGGGGAGACCAGCCTCCAGGGACAGGAGCAGTGGGAGAAAGGAAAGAAGGCCAAGAGAGAGACTGAGACAGAGAGAAACAGGAGGATGGAAGGTACACAGGACTCCTTTAAAAGGGAACACAGTGAATGTGCACAGGTGGTGCTTTTAGTGGCTGCAGCTGAGGGCATATCCTGTCAGAACCCCAAGGACAGGCCAGTACAGATGCCTGACTTCTAACACTACCTGTCCTGGAACTTACTCTGTAGACAAGGGTGGCCTCAAATTCAGAGATCCGATTGCCTCTGCCTCCAGAGTGCCGGGATTAAAAGTGTGTGCCACCACGCCCAGCTAGAGGCTGCCTTTTGGGCAGCTCACCTTGTCTGAAAGTGTTTCTTGGCAGATCTTACTGCTTATATATGCTTGGTGAGGGAGGAACTTAGTGTTGGTTTTAGGGACTTCCTGAAAACTTTTAGTTGTTTACTTCCTGAACTTAATGAGCTTCTTTGCAGAATAGAATGTTTCTCCTTCCTCCTTTAATATCCTGTGTCATAAGCAGCTGGAAGATGGAAGGTTCTATCTCAGAGGAAATTACTACACAATAAAGGTATAAGCAAAGAAAAATGATTGCTGTTTCTTTACAGTCCAAGGGATGGCACTCCCCAGGCCCCAGGCTTAAGTCCATGTGAGGTGTTATTTGCACAATTATTTCTTACCAAGGATTTTCATTCTTGCTAAGAAAAAATGCTACCTAAAATAGAACATTATGACCTCAGCTCAGTTCAATGCTGCAGCCAAGAGAGACAGGTTCACTATTGTTTTAACCTAAATATCAGATGATGGGTCATTTCCTTCTCTCTCTGCCTTTCCAGAAGCTATCTGGAAGGGACCTCACACTGTGGTTCTAGTCACTCCAGTAGTTAAGCCAGGGCCTGAAAACATCCCAAGTTCCAGTGGATTTTGACTTGGGCACTTTGAAAATAGCCCCAGTTTTGGCTTCTGATGCCAACCACACACTCTAGCTTTTGCTTCTCTGTTGTGGAATATGCCTTTACCTTGTGAAGATGTGTCACTGTTACTGGTTTAATAACAAAAGTTAAATGGCCAACAGTTAGGCAGGATCTTTAAGGCAGAAGGAACTTTGGAAGAAGTCACCAGCCAAGCACAGAGCAAACAGGATGGGCAATAGGAGATGAGATAATAAAGCCATGAGGCAAAAAGTAAATTAATAGAAATGGGTTACTTTAAGTTATAAGAACTAGTTAGAAACAAGCCTAAGCTATCAGCCACGATTTCATAATGTTGTGATTTGGGAGCTGGCTGGCTGGACAGAGAAAGACTCTCTAGTCTCTCTCTCTCTCTTTCAAATCTGTTTCCAGACGCCCATTCTTCCCTATACTTGACAGTTATATGTGGTGATATATTATTTATGATTTATTAAAGTTTGCCTGAGGATTTAGAAGGCAAAGCCAGCCTTAAGCTATAGAGATCCGACAGTGATGATACACACCTTTGATTCCAGGACTCAGGATTAAGAGGTAGACGGATCTCTGTTAGTTCAAGGCCACCATGTCTTACACAAGAGTGAAGAGAAACAGAGCTCATGGCTTTGATACCAAGCAGAGGTATATAAGAGAGGAGCAAGGTCTTAGAGCTGGCCTTTAGTCTCAGGATTCTCCAACCTTGAGGAGAAGAGCATAGCAGTCTGAGTCAATCTGAGGAGCAGAGAAGTAGGGAGCAGTTTGAGGATTGCCCCTTTGATCTGAGCTAAGGTAGAGTAAGAGCTAGTGGCCAGCTGCTTTGTTTTTCTGATCTTTAGCTTGAAGTTTGAACCCCAGTATCTGTCTCTGGGTCTTTTATTTTTCATGTTACAATAATACAAACAAAACCACTGATGCACATTTTAGGTCTTTTAGATATACCCACTGGAGGGGTACCCCAACTGCCACATGCAATCAAGAGACCTGGAAGCCAGCATAAGACACCCCAAGGCCAAGTTCTCAACACAAAGATTTATTTGCTCCAGAGGGCCAGAGAGTAGGGAATAAGAATGACAAAGACAGGATGAGGTGGAAGGGGAAAGGAACAAAGGAGACAGAAAAGGGGTCTTTGTCCTGAGGGGACAAAGGACTGCCTTTGGATGGAGAGAACACCAACACGTCCATAGTCAAATGTCAGTTTATGAAGATAAAAGGGGTTAGGATGAAATGTTTAATTTTAATTGAACATATCAATTAGGTGAGTCAAAAGGGGACTTTTGACTGCTGGACTTCAACACTTCAATAGCTGGACCTTGATATCAGCCTTAAATGAGGAAGTGGCCAACAATCTCACAGTTTCGCAAGGCAGAGGGAATGGGGGGGAGAGCAAAGTCTGCTAGATCCATGTTTGCCATACTTGGGCCGGCTAGAGTTCCTTCACCCAGTGCTTGTAATCACTGGGAAGAAGCAAGGTCAATCAGCACCCCAATTCCCAGTGGCAGTTAGGGTTACCTCTTTAGAAGGGCTGATGAGAACAAGAGGTAGAAATTAGCTAGGCAGCTTAGGGTAGATAAAAAATAACCAGTTTATTTCTTGGCTAAGAGCCCGAAACAGGACTGGTGAGATAGAAAGCCGAGTGGTTATGAGCACCTGTTGCTTTTGCAGAGGACCCAGGTTCAGTCTTCAGTACCCGTAAACATGGTGGCTCACAATCATCAGGAACTCCAGTTCCAGGAGAACCAACATCCTCCTCTAAACTCCACCAGCATCAGGTACACATAGGCGGCAAGATGCTCATAAACACACACAAAAAAAATAAAAGCCAGAAATGACAGTGACAGCCAAGTCCTTTCCAGAGGCCGGAGATGTCAGAAACATTACTGGGGGCACAGATCCCTGATCTGGTTCCTAAGTGATTGTTAGTTAGGGTTACCTGTTGAGGGGGATGGATATTAGTGTGTAACAATAAATGTATATTAAGAGAGAAGTCCTTCTGGTCAAGAGAATAGAATTCCTGGTCTGGGTGGAAAAGACCTAACATTCTACTTGGGCCAGGTCAGTCACCAGGGCCTCTCTCTCTCTCTCTCTCTCTCTCTCTCTCTCTCTCTCTCTCTCTCTCTCTGCTCCTCCTCCTCCTCTCCACCTCCTCCTCTCTTTTCTTATCTAAGCTTGCTTCCCATAATACTCTGGGCTTCCCCAGCTTTTCTGGTTTTCTTACCCTTTCTCTAAAGCTCCCCTCTTCCACCATGAGGCTGTTTATCTGTGCTATATTAAATGGGGTGGCTTTCTTTACTACCTCCTCCATTCTCCTCCAGCAGTTGAGTTACAGCTTGCCTGTACTGGGAGGGAGGGGGGCGGGCGGGAGGGGGCCGCGGGGCAGGAATGACCTTTTCAAGTGTAATAAATTGTTTAAAAAATAAATTTAAACTGGCTATGGTGGCTCATGTCTTTAAATCCCAGCAGAGGCAGGCAGATTTTTGAGACTCCCAGAATAGCCAATTTCAATGGAGAAACTGTTTTTGTATTCGTATCACACACAAAGCACGCATACCTATAATTGAATTCTTAAAAATTAAAGAAAATAAACATTTTAGAAATAATTTACAAATGTCCTATTTGGGAATATTAATAAAAATTTCTTTTGTAGGACAAAAAAGAAAGGCAGACTGCCACATGCAGCGCCTCATTTGGATGTGTCTGGAGTCTTGGAAGCTTGACTACCCTACGTTCTCCTACAAATGGACCTTGAGAGCTTGTTTGGAGGTTCTAGCAGGGGAGCGCAGCTACTCGTATACCCTTGACCGAAGACCGGTCCTCCTCTATTCGGGGAAGGTCGTCCTCTTCGACCGAGCGCGCAGCTTCGGGAGGGACGCACATGGAGCGGTGAGGGAGGAAGGGGACACCCGCCTAGCCAGCCAGATCAGCCGAATCAACCCTGGCGATCAATGGGGTGACAGATGTCGCAGCCAGATCGCCCTCACATCCGAGAAGCCCTTGGCTCCTGTTGTATTTATAAACCCATGAACACTTGTGACTTTACACATACGTTGACTTTTCACAATCTAACCATAATATGGTTTTGTAACAAAACTTAAATATTATCTCCCATAAAGAAAGAAAATCTTACTTACCCTCGTGCCAAATTTAAGATAAAAGTGACTTAAGTTTAGGTTGCTTTAATGTTAACCAGAATGCTTTGTAGCTGGGCGGAGTATGCTAAACACAGCGATCTGTATTGGTGAAGCCTTCCGGAGTCCCGCCCCCGGCTATGTCTGCTCGCAGTGTGCAGTCCTCTGGCTCTCTGCGGTGACAGCCTTGAGGCTGGCTGCTGTCACCCCGCCTCCCGTGTCCCGCGTGTTCCGGCTGGGCTGAGGTCGCTGCCCTAGGTGAGCGTCGGCAGCTCTGCTGAGGCAGGCTGGGCGGCGGAAGGTAGACCCAGAGCATCTCTTGGCTCGCGATCCTCACGTGCCCTGTCTTCTTCTCGGCCCAAGTGACACGCAGAAGCGAGTAGTAAGTCCAAGAATATTGTAATGTGCAGAATGTATGGAATTTTGCACTGATAAGATAATGTTCTTGCAAACGAATGGCCCCAGCTTCTTCGGATCCAGAATATGAAAGCCAAGGTTAGGGTTTTGCTCTTTCCTTTACGCTTTAAGACGGCGGCATCTTTTTGCTGTGAGAGGGGAAACACAACAATAAAAGAAAACACTTATGCTCTCAAATCCTGAACATTTTATTATGCCCAGATTACTGGGTAGAGGATAGGAGGTAGCCTCGCCGCTCTGCGCTGCTTTCGGTTTTTTCAGTAAGTCAGAGAGCGAACAGAAGAGGTCGCATGGATTCCGTGAGGTGGGCATTAGCGGCCCCAGGAGTTAGAAGTACCAGGCCCACTCTATCTTCACGTGGCCAGACAATGGATCTTCCATCCACATTACAGCATGTCCCATTCAGCCAGAAGATCCTTCCTGTCCGGGACTTTCCTTTGTAAATAGAATTAATATCTTTCACCTTTATGTTACCCTTAGTTTCTGCGTCATGGCCAATGAATATCTATTAGTTAATAAGGACAAAGAGAATTAACGTGATTTTCGCCAGTTTTATTAATTATACACCCTCTAGGCGAATTTTCTGTACTTAGTGCCCAGCTGGCAGCCTTGGTTCCTTGCCCACATGTGCGTTTTTGCTTTTGTCCTATTCTTTTCGTTTCCTATGGAAATTGTCAGATACAAGCAAACAAAACATTGTGTAAATTCTATGTGTGCAGCCCTTACCCTGATTGACAGTAATCCGCTCATGCTGATCCTGTTTCGTGTGTCTCCTGCCTCCTCTTGTTTTGAGGGAGTGTTTTAATCCAGACATTGTTCCCCGTGGGAGTGCCACACTTAAGTATTTATTTCTGGCAGGTAAGGGTTATCACACCCACCAGAACAAAGCAGTCTGTCTCCTGCAGAGCTTTTAGTAGTGTGTCATGGTGCTCTAGGCAAGGTCTGCAAGTTTTACATCGAGAATAACTTTAGATTAATAGAAAACATGGTACCACAGAACCCCCAGCCTTCCCTTGTGCTGACACCTTACATAACCATGCAAACCGAGAGTTACTGTTGCGCCCTACTGTTGCGCCAGGGGGCGGCAGACTTTATTAGGATTGCACTATGCTTTTCCACTGAGGCCCTCTTGCCATTCTAGGATCCAATGTTGTTTTTAGTCCCTCAGTTTCCCCAAAGCCGAGATGATTTCTCAGCCTTTCCCTTGTTTCAACCCCTTGACAATACTGATACCACCAACGAGGATTCACTGAGAATACCTGTGTCCCCACCATGTCCTTGACCTTGAGTCCACATCTCACAGAATGCCATGCCTGATTTCTACCTTGTGCCTGGGGGACTCTCTCTCTCTCTCTCTCTCTCTCTCTCTGTGTGTGTGTGTGTTTTAAACAGGTGTTACTGAAAGACCTTAGTTTGCAGAGCAAGGATGTAGAAAAGGTAAGAAAAATAGTTCTTGCAAGAAGAATATAGAAAATCACAAAGAATGGATGTTGACATGGGTGGAAAGATCAGGAATTATGAGAACAAGAAAGGTTACTATGGTGATGGGGCTAGTGGTTCTATGCTAGGCTGATCTTGTTAAATAGGGCTAGTTACTGAATCATCAAACCTTTGTGGGATAACTGAAGGCTCTAAATGTACAGCCAAGAAAAAGCCAGAGTATAAAGGACTTTAGAAACAAAGATTAAAAAGTCTCTCACAGGTCTTGGCCCACAACAAGGGGAATAGACCCCAACCCTGGAACAAATAATTCCAGTTGAGCAGCCCTATCTGGGTCACACCTGGCCAATGGACAGTCTGGGGACTTTCCAAGTCATTCTATGGTTTATCCTTTAAAGAGGAACAGGTCATACCCGGGTGATCTTTCAAACATGAGATCATACTTTGTAATCAATCACCTTGTGGCCCATGCATGTATGCTGATTTGTGGTCTTTCTCTATAAAAAGAACCTGAACCCTTTGAGGGGTGTGCAGCTTTCCCTGAGATTGCTGACACCCGGCTGCACTCATTCGATAAACACCTCGTGCTTGTTGCATCTCCTGGTTTTGGTGTTTGTGTCGCGGGGCTCTCCCATCGGCCCATCAGGACCCCGGAATTAGGATCTTACATTATTTTGCCCTTCTCAGTGTCACAGCAGGAGGACATTGTAGCGCCCGGCTACGACCTGTTCCACGAATCCAGCAAAGGCCTAGAGATTGAAATAAAGACACAAGACAGTGGGTCATTCATTCAATGGCAATGTCGGAATGCCAAATGCCCAATGCCATTTATCGAGGGGATGGAACGGGCTTCAATACTGACTTACAGCACAGTGGAAAATTACAAGAATTTTTAGGCTTAGCTTTTCCCCACGAGGCGTGTGTTGTCATGAGGTGTGTGTTATGAAAACGGGAAGAGTACCAACAACAGGTTTGGGGCAAGGAGTTCCAGCCAACAGCTTCAGGCTTGCTCAAGGTGTCTTGGGGGGGGGGGTGGTCCATGCAAGGCCCTACAGAACATCCAAATGTCCTGCTTGGGAAACTAAGTTTAAGGATGAGGTAGTTGGTAAATTCTCTGTACTTTTCCATTACATGCATTTTTCTCTTCATACTAATGAGGTAACCCATGGGTGGCATCCAGGCATTCCCTCAACCTTTCAGTTTCCGTTATGATCTTTATAAAATAAGTTGTTAGAATTGAAATTTTATCTTTAATTAGCACTGACTTTTCATTAGTTAGCTCTAATTCTTCTGCAAAACAGCCTTTACTTACCCCCTTCTTTTGGCATTATTATCATTATTTGTATCTAGTATCTCTTTTGTTTTGTTTTTGTTTGTTTTTTCTTAATTATTCCAAATTTGGCTGGAGGGGGTCTCATCAAATAACGCCTTGGCCTTTAACACGCTTTCATCCGTGAGCACTTCCGAACTCTCTGGTCTTCACAGAACACGGAGTCAGTCTTCCTGTAGGAGCCCTGCTTCTGTTTGGTGGATTGTATTGATTGGAAGCCAAGACTCCGGTGCATTTAATGGATTCTTTCTCTCGTCTTCTCCAGGCAGTTTAACACTATATTTTCAGTGTTTCACTTGTAACAAGCTATAGAAGTTAGGCATTACACACCTTTAATCCCACTACTTGGGAGGTAGAGGTAGATGGATTTTTATTAGTTCAAGGCCACACTGAGCTACAAGAAATATATCCAGTCCTAAAGAGAAACAGTTCACACAAAGATGACCTCAGCCCTTGGGATCCCAGAACTCATGAGAGGTATTTAAGATAGGAACAGGGTCTCAGAGCTGGCAGTCATTCTCCAGCCACACAGAGGAGAGGCAGCAATCTGAGGCTTGGTGAAGAGCTCGTGGATCAGCCCTTTTAGCCTGAGCTAGAGGTGAGAGCTAGTGGCTGGCTGCTTTGCTTTTTGGATCTTCAGCTTGGAGCTTGAACCCCAATATCTGTCTCTGGGTCTTTTATTCTTTTCATGCTACAGGAGATGATTCCCTAAAGCTACTGTCGTTCAGGACATGTTTGAGGGCAGCTCCTCTCCCCTAGCAACTGTTTTCTGCTTAAGTAATTTCAGCCAGTGGCCTCATGAGTTCCCTGAGTCTGCCAAGCCTCCCCCTAGGAGGGAGTTTCAAACTGGAAGGCATTTCTACACAAGACGCCACCCAGTCTCATGCATTCTTTCTGCCTTCGCTTATGTAGCGTTCCCAACCTTGGATATTTATTTTGTTCTATTTACAGCTAACCATCAAACTACTGTGCCACCAAAGAATCACTTATTCTCAACAATTTGATCTGTTCTGAGTCTCTCCCCCTCACCCCCCCCCCCCCCCGAAAATCAGTTTCCCTCCACAGAAGGCTGGTAGCGGCAGTAATCTGTGGTTAAAAACAAGAATTTAGGTGGCAATTCAACACAAAATGAAACAGTAGAAGTAGCCTCTCTGTTAGAATTTCAGGTCTCTGCCCAGGATTACAATACAAAACATAACTTTTTTTCCTGTGAAGCAGGCCTTAAATCCAATTAGAACATGGTTGGCTGCACCCATGGTAGCCACAGCACTATTTCATCTTACCATCTCACCTGTCTTGCCTATCATGTTGGTAGTTGTAAGACCCTCAGAATGAGGAGTCTTCCAGTTTCGGTCAATACCCCAAGAACTCAATGTCCAGTCCAGTTGCTGCAAAACGCAAGAGGCTTTAATGAACAGGAAACGTTTGCACAAATGGGCTCCTCCAGCATGCAGGCTAGAGAGAAGACCCCTCCCCTGGGCCCAGGTGTTTTTAAAGGCAAACCCACAAGCTTAGGGAGGGGGTGGGACCCTCTGTCCATTGAGTACGTGACCCTTGGAGGCCGGATGGTCTGCTATTAGGATCAGCAGACCTTAGGGCCTCAGGGTGTGCTAGTTAATTTTGTCTGGGCAAACCTTTGTTTCCTAAGGACCCTATTTACCACCTGCTGACTCACAGGAAAGGAGGGGCAGTGTGAATTCTTCTTATCTCAGGGCCTTGTGAGAGGAAGTTAGCAAATTCCAAGGAACAGATATTGGTTTCCAGGTTAGTCCATCATTAACATTACTTTTTTGGGCTTTCAGTAGTGTAGTGTAGGAAGCAGTATCCATAGACGAGCAGGACTGTCAGCAATAGTTCTTTCCCCCAACAGCCAGTATATTGCCTCCTTGACTGCAAAAGTCTGCCAGCAAGGGAGATGCTTTCAGCTCAGTTCTAGCTTGATTTCTCCATGTTCTGCAACAAAAGAATGCAGTATCTTCAGCAATAGGCATGTCCCTTCTAGTCCTGACATGCAACCAACAGCATTGGCAATAGCTTTTATGGTTTGTGAGGCTTCAGGGGCCTCCCTGGTCACCAACACATGGGGAGGTAGATGGTCCAGCCTAGCAGTAGATACGCACCTTAGAATTGTATGGCTGCTCCCGGGGTTTCCTTCTTCACCTGCACAAGAATGCCTTCATTCAAACTCTGTAATT